GCAGGAACATGACGATACTAACTTGAACATTTGTATTTGCCAGAAAAGAAACACACCATACAGACCAACTTTTTAGATGTACAGGCAACAGTTGTGTTAAACAGAGGTGGTGGTGGGGGAAATCTTAACTATATTTACCTTTTGATCTCCTTGGATCATCTGTAAATCCTTCAGTGACTTCTCTAGTTTGGACTTTTCATCTAGTGCAGCTGTGGCCTGTGATACATTGAAACCGTAAAACCTCAGAAACATACTTTAATTGAAAACGTGAGAATAATAACCACAGGATTCTTGTTTAGATATTTTTTAATATGTAAACAGCATTAAGTATTCAAGCTTACAGGGAATTTACCTGTGTTTCTATGGTCTTGAGCCGGCTCTTCAATTTTTCATTTTCTTCTTGGAGACAAGCAACTCTCTTGGGGTTAATGAAACAAGGAAAAGTTTATGAACACTCTTGTGCTATTTTGAATTTTCCAAATATTTCAGGTAAGAAAATAGGCTTCATAGCTTAGGAAAGCAAACAAGCTTCTAAATGCTTGTAAAAATGGCCTTCATAAGAAATCAGTAATCCATTTATTTATTGTGTTTTTCTGCCTCAGTCAGCAAGACATTTAAGTCTCCAATTCTACTGTAATATATAGGACCATTCACTTAAATTTGGCACATGCTTTACTGAAATGAGATTAGTGAGCTCAGCATCCTGTTAGTATCGAGATTCACGATAAAGAAAATTGCATGTTCAGAGATGCAAATCTCATTGCTGCTTATTATTTGTATTTTCAATCAACAGGCAAGCAAGAGTTTATTCATAGCTCCTGTTTAAAAGAGACAAATACCAGGTTACTGCATATCATGTTCTGTGTCACAGGAAATAACCATGCTTTATCAGTCAGAGTAAATTCACCACACAAACTCTGAATTATTTTTGAGGGAAAAAAAAAAGACATCAGATGCACCTATTCAACAAAAACTCTTACGAAACAGATTTTGAAATGATTTTTGAAAGAGAATGACATTGATCTATCAGTAAAATACGAGTCTGAATTCTTGAATGCTTTAATTATCTTAATGAGTAACAACAATTTGATTCAGACGCTGTACTTGACGCATCATTTTTGTAATGCAGGCTAGAAGACAGAAAACGCAACTCCTCAATAAATTTCTTGACTGCCCATAACTTAAAAGTGTATTGTAAGAAGTATGGCATTTTTAAAAAGTTCAGTTGAACTAAAGGAGTTCAATACCTAATAAAAACTATTGATAACATCAAACACTAGAATGTGTTTTGTAATTCTGAAAATCTTTAGCAAGTGGGAAATCAGATGTTTTCAAAACTAGTAAATTCCAAATTCTTTAAGTGTCTGGTTTTTTATGAGGAATTTTACTAACCAACAAAAGAAAAAAGACTGAATGTAATAGGATTGACTTCAAGTGATATAGAAAATGTTTGATAACCTAATAATTTCAGCCAGCTACATATTTTAATTTATTTCCTTGTTGGAAAGCCAGCGAACTGCATGGAACAAACTGAACACTGGTTTCTACTAATTTACCTCATTAAATAGAAAAATAAATAATTACAAGTCCAAAATGTCTTTGCAAAAGAAAGGTCAATATTGCAATACATGTTAAGAGACCATAACCGCACACTAAATTTAAGATGCTTTACAATATTTATTAATTTATTAGCATTTGACTTTACATTCTGGGGTATATTATCTTGACATCTATATAGCGACAGGCACCTTATACAAATATTACTGTACAGGTATCCAGTGCAGTTGAATAAGCAGAATGGTCATTAACTACAACTGCACAAACAGACAAGTTCTTACCTTGTTTAGCAGCTCTGACCCACCTTCATTTAATGGAGCCAGTTTAGGTTTAATGAGATCTGCACTGGGCTAAAAAAATAATAAAGGTTAAAAAATTAAATTATACGGATTTCTAGGAAGAAGAAAAGTATTCCTTTAGTCTGTAAAATAACTATTGACAGTCCATTCAGCTTTCTTTTGTAAAGCAAATGAATGACCTTTTATTTCAAGTTCATTTTTTACTGGTACCTTGGCTCTTAAGTTATATACTCCACTTTCAGCTAAGGTTAAACAAAAATACTGCATAGAGACATAAAAGGATTGCAAACATGAATTTACAAAAGGCTACCGATGCTGCAGCAACCAAAAGACAAAAGAGTAAGGAAAACGGAAAAAAAAATATTTGAGTGATTGTAAGAGTAAAAAATATTTCCACAGCTCAAAATAATTTTATTTCAAGTATTCAAATATATTATATTTTAACTAAACATATATTTCCGATACAAACCAAGTAAGGTGCAACCATAATCATACAAGATAAGCTAGTCGTATCTGTATTGCGGAATCTTCTCAGCTCTTGACTCCATGTTGGGACAAAGCCTTGGGACAAGCGAATGTCCCAGTCTTAATCCAGTTTCCAGGGGGATGGGGAATCCAGGAGCAGACGCTCCAACACATCCCTGGTCTGGCTGACTTTGAGATGAGGATTACGAGGCATGCCCTGGGTGTGCAGAATCCACAATCTAGAAACGGCCAAGGCAATTCAGCATAAGCCTTGGTGCCAAACTGCAAAATGCTACTTTTTGGAGACTTTCAAAGATTGCTTTGAAAAAGGGTGGGCTTTTTGGTTTTGTTTTTCTCTCTTAAGCACAAAGAGTCAGTACTAAGTATTTTAAATATCTGTCATGATTCCACATGACATCTGATTATGATTTGATTAAAATAAAACTCTACCTTCTTGTTCGAAGATGTAAATTCTGACTTTTCAAACTCAGCAACCTGTTCCAACAATTCTCTTGAAAAGAAAAATAAAGGGAGGCATTTATTTACTAAAATAGCTATGCTATGAAACACATTTTACCAGGCTGATGCTATACACTTTATTGCATGTAAGATTCTCATTAGAAGTTCAGAATGAAGTCCTACACAAACACAATAAATGCAACAGATCATGTCATGCAATGGTAAGGTATATGCATTAGAACTGTAAGATTTAGCATCCTTGATTAAAATATAATCTGCTCAGACAACAAAGGCTTTTTAATCAAATTCTGTCACCCGCTCTCACCTCATTAATTGAAGTAAGAACATTACCAATAAAAATGTCTTCCTGACAAATTTGAAATTATTGTGTATCTTGCTGCTTTGGATGGAAGACTTGAAACTAACCTATCATCGATACGATAGTAAAAGAACAGCTTTCTATGGTTAGGAAAAGAATGCAAATAGTCAATACTTTGAAGTTTTCTTATTATTGAAAGGCATTCTGTATAGTCCAATATATGTTACCGATTCTCCAATTCAGAGACGTCTGTCTGTAACTTAAGGTACCATTTCTCAGCCTGCGAAAAGAGCTGCCGCAGAAGTAAAACATTGGTGTAAGTTGTATTTATGAGCTCCGACTCCACTTCACTGTGTACAACAGTCTGCAGTCCATCCAGCATGTCTATCACCTCGTCAACTGTGAAGGTCTCCTCAACGAGTCTAAACACAGCAGTCAAGATGAGCCATATATGATAAAGGTAATAATTTTGCATTGTTATAAGAGCTCACTATGCAGGTATCACTCTCATATAATGCAATGTCCTTCTGAAAACATCCACTGTCAGCAGTTATTAGATGACCACGGCACTACTAATTGCTTATGGTATTTAAATTTTCTCTTGGAAACATTAAAGTCACAAATATTACTTCTGCTACACCAAATTTAGACATCAGAAGCTAGATATAAAGCAATGTCATGCTGTTGATATCTATGTCAATTCCTAAGAACTTGAACAACTTTGTTTTAAAAGGACTTGACTTGTAACATTTGGAAAATTATTGGGTCTTTCTCCCTCACTAACAACACAGAAATGTAAACAGAGAAAAGTCACCCTATAAAACATTTAAATCTGCTATTGTTGCCAGCATGTTTTGCTTTATTCTTGCTCAGAAACGCCCCGCCACGGTACCTGCTGTCCTTAAGGTCCTGAAAACAAGAATCCACTGTTTTGAGACACAGGCCACGCTTGAAACGAGCAAAGCGCATGTAGTTGATCACTTCATTCTGGTGGTGCTCATTAAGGCCTAGCTCTGCCTGCAGATAAGGATATAAGCACAAAAATAAGGATACACTGAAATAAGTAAAAGGGAGTATAAGTATTGCGAAGACTTGCCTTCTGACTAGTTTCTGTGCTTGCTTTCATAGGGTTAACATGATAACTAGTACGTTAAAAAACAACCATGTTTTCATATGTGTAATCCCTGTAAACCTCACATAAGTGCTCCCCCTTTAAAAGCACCAGTACTTGGAAGTAAGTCCTCAAGTGACCAGTACCCTCAGAAAAGGCAGACAAAATCAGAGACAGACAATCAGCGGATCAGAACCAGAAGGACTCTAGGGGAGAGCAAGCTCTTGGATAGATTTGTCTTTGTATTACGTGTACACATGTATAATGTAGCTGAATGATGTATCTTTCATAGATGTACTAACAAAAATACACAGGAAAGTACGGTATGCTTCTTTGCTAGTTTATATGTAAAATCTTGAGACTTCCCGTATGATCTTAAGTGAGAATCTGAATTTGCTTCTCAACAGCCTATTGCCCAGAAACAAATATTCCCAGGGCAAACTAAGAAGGAAGCATTTTTAGATCTGGCTAACTAGCCCTTCTATGCATGCCTCTATTTCAAAAGAAGGAGTATTGGCATGGCCAATTACATTAGAGTAAATCTTACTCGTGCGGGTAGCACAAGTCACCAGGAGGCACAACAGGGCCCAAATGGGAGTCTCTAATTGCAGTCCCTGGAAAGCTGATGCAACCAAAGGTGAAGCCCATTTCATTTACTCCAATGGACTGAGTTAGTATTGCTGATGTTGGAGACAGCAATGTAGCAACTCAGAAAAAACACTTAAGCTGATCACCTTCTCCTTGTTAATCCAACTGCGCAGAGTAACTCCAGTGAAAATGCAATACTGCGATACCTGCATGAACAATACTGGAAAGGTGAGCACAGATCTCGACTGCCTGGAAATCAAAGGCAGCCTAGGAAACAGCAACAGCAGTAAATAAAACAAGCTCTCACAGCGTGGTTGCAAGTCTGATGTCTCCCACAAAGTCCCACATCTTGCAAATGAAAGATCATGTGAAAAGCTCAATTAACGGTCTCTTTGCTGTTGCTAGGTTTGCTTTAGGTGAAAAGTTTCTATTCATTACAGACAGAAAGGAAAACACAGGCCAACACCAGTGCTGAAACCTCACAATCCAGACAGCAGCTACAAAACGACATTAAACTGATCAACAAATATACAGGCGCGGGCTAAAGCCACTCGTGATCTCCAAGCGCAGTGAAGCAACCGGGACACCGGATCCTGCAAACACCCCAAGCCCCGCCGGCCTCCGCAGGGCCCAG